AATCATCATTATTTACCTAGGTTTAAAAAGTGTTATTTCTCACTAGAGGAAATCCTCGAATATTGGTGATTTCTCAGGTTATTGATGGATAAACATCATTCTGATCTCTCCAGACTGATACTGGCGAAGTCGTCGAGGTGGATGAAATCCTTTATGGACGCATATGGATCTAATCCCCCATTTGATAGTGTGAGAGTCCCCTGACTTCAGGAATACCAACTAAACAGTCCATCCCGTTTGTAGGCCCGTCTGACCGATGTCTTCGACGTTATTTGGGCTTAGTGGCCCATTTTATCTCTCCGACATGCCGTTATCAATTTTATCATATCGACTCATGGTTCTTGTTAAGGACCACTTCAATATGAATGGCCTTTTCGTTCAAGTTCTTGAAGATTACTGTTCCGATCCCTGTTCTCGTCCACGAAGAAGGCCAACAGTTCTCCTTCTCCTACGAGTAACAGGGGAAGGTGTTGGTCCATTCCTGTGGTGCCCCCTGCATAGGGCTAAGGCTGTTTCCTCTAAGATGTCGCCCTGTTTCCCAGAGGCTTCGTTAGCAACACCATACCCTAGTGCCATTCATCCATCGTCACGGGTTCCCACATCTTGGATTAGGTTGCCAGAGCCTCGTTGAGCAGTCCTCAGCCACCTAGACAGATAATCAGAAAATTGCCCCGCAAGATAGTAAAGATCCTCCCAAAATGCTTCATTTGTCGAGCGGCCGCGGTCTGTCCTCCACACTCCACTTGATGGTGAGGTTGGGCTTGGAGGGAAAGAGGAAAAGAGAAGTTGGCCAAGGAAGGCCGATAGGATTGATTGAAAAAGGAAGAGATAAGAGGATATCACCCAAGACAAGTTGGAGTATGGTGAATATCCGGCTAGGGTACCTCGGGTTCACCATTCCCGTACTTACAAGTTGTGAGCCCCTACTCGGTCTACTCTGTAGTCGTTCAAATTAGATAAATCTACCAAGTGAACAAAATCAGTTGAAAAATATCTAGTCCAGTGACAAGAAAACACAGTCATTTTCCCATTGTCTTATTGGCGGCAGAAATTGAAGGAGAAAGATGTAAA